GTAAACTTGTCGAGTTTTGAACTCGAAAACTTTTTCAAATTCATGCTTACGTGATTAGCGCGCGAAAAGCCAAGCAACTTGACGCCACAACCATGTTTACATACTCTCATGCAAACACTCCTCTCGGCCAATCAGAGCGCGCGTACTGTCTTAGTTATTTTATAATGAAAGCTTTTTCCTATTCATATTATTTCACATGAATTTGATGGTCAGCTCACTTAGTTTTTAAAAAGTGGTTTGGCGAATTATTCAAAAGCAGTGCTATACGCTGTTCAGACTGGCTCTACTCAATCTAGGCTAGCGGAGAGAGTCTGAAAACACGTGTCAATTTTGTTTGTATTTTATCAATCATTTATTCCATATTGCATGCTGTGCGAGAAATCAACCTTGTCCCCAAGGTGCTTTTCCCTGGCTTTGGACGTGGGCGCCCCACTTCCTAAGCCAGGGAAAAGCGCCCTGGGGACGAGGTTGGCGAGAAATGCACTGCGGAGAGGGAAATAAAGAAAGAAAGTGGAAAGTTTGGACAAAACAATACGACATTTATGACCTCGATTTATTTTATTGTGACCAATTCCCATTTAAATGCTACACTACTGCATGCCAGACTGAAGATTTTCTGGTGTGCGTGTATTAGGCTTCGCAGGCTTAAGCCAGCTGTCCGTACACATCCGCACACGTTTTACCCCCATTGTCGCTATCACCACGACCGGCACGCAAATCTTCCCCACACACAGACGCAGCTCGCTGTTAGAAAAGACACATTGCGGCTTCTTTGAGGCACAGAACACCAGGACTGACGAGGAAGAGCTGTATCCGGCCAGTTTATACCATCCACTGCCATCAACTGTTTTCGCTTCTGGAGCAAGTATCTTGTTGTTCTGATCAGTCAAGAGCACAACCAATGCTCCGTGATTTGGTTGACATCCCCAGTAGCTATATGCGCGTTTATCACATGACACTTTTCCCGAGCGGTGCACGAGCATAAACGACCTCACGAAGATGTTTCGATGGTAGGAAAAACGACCAAACTGGTTTCCCTTGGCGCCAAAGCAAACGGGCGACTTGTTTAGTTTCACCCAGCGAGGACAGGTCTTTGACGACGCTTCAGTGGGAATGGGAAAAATCGCCAACATTATGGCAAACATCAGGAATTTGAATTCCATTTCTTGAATTTAAGTTAAAAAAGATTGAATTAGAAAAATATGAATACAAGGACTTTATTTTAATTTAACCATTTTTTTTCGTAACATTAATCTGCCATTAATTCTTTTTCTTGGCTTCTACGCACGTGAATTTTTATCTGTCTCTTCTATAACTTAGAACTCTTATTTACTAAGTTTATAAATTTTTTGATGAAGAGTAACTTTAGACACTGAACCACCGTTTGAAAACCGTTTGAATCCTATTTTTTTTTCTGGTCCGTGACTCGAGGTGAGCATTTTTGAAAGAAAGCAAACACAGTTGTTTTAGCGTAAATATGACTCAAAGGATAATCGGCAACAAAATATTAAAAAAAATTGTATGGTAACTGGTAACCGTGCCGTTGTAGCAGAAGCTGAATATTGAACATCACAGTATCGTACCTTTCAGTCACGACAATAAAAGTGCTCTCATAATGCTGGCGTTTCAACGAAATGCTCCGCAATGTTTTTTTCATTTGCCTGAACACATATGAATGAGAATCTTGGCACTAATGTTTTAGTTTTCATTTGCTTACTGCCCAATTGCCTCAGTGAAGCACAACTCGAATTTTCTCGTCAATATGTAAGGCGACAAGCTTAGTCACCGCTATATTTTTATAAACACGGTTGACATTTTCTATTTTGAAGTAAATCTTGACGAAGTAAACAGGAAGACGTTATAATGGTACTTTGATTTTAGCAGGTCACGGAAAACATTCCCTCGTAAGGCGAAAACGGTTTTATTAACAAACAATCCAACCCCCTCTGAAAATGAAACTGGCCCTTCTACAAGTTCTGGAGCCAATTTCTTGAAAGCCCTGATAATTAGCTAGCCAGAAAACTGCTGTGATGTGTTAAAACTATTAGTTAACAAAATAAAACATCTACTGTTTTTAAGCTAAGATCCTCGCCAGTTTATTCTGTAGACTTGATTTCAATATTACGCTTCGGGCCAGGAAAGTTAGAGGGTCTTTCAAGAAGGGAATCCCAGATGAGTCTTTTGTAAGGCGTGCGTATTGCTCCCCTTTTTCTCCTCCGGTTATCCCTTTTTATAATCTGTGGCTCTTTCTTATTTTATGCATACTAACAAGTTAATTTCCCTAAGCCCCGAAGATCATGAAATTATATTGATACATTCCGCCGTTTTTCCTTCTTCGGGGGCAGGGTGCGGTTACTCGTAGGCTAGATCCGTTTAAAACCTTTTGTACCCAAACGAACGAAATTCTGTCAAACAAGCCTGACCAAAGAAAAATGACAAAACTCATGCAACTTTGTCCAAAAAACCCGTGAAGATAATTGTTTCACCTCCCATCTGTAAGTCATTTCATGATTCTCAGGGCATTCGGGAAATCTGTCTACAACGAAAACAAAATTAGGGAAGAGAAACGAATAAAGCGGGACAACTAGGAAAGAAAGAGAAATGTCATGCAATATGAAATAAAAGAAGAAAGTGAAAAGTCTAGAGGAAACAACTGTGATATAAACTACGTCGATTCACTTAAATTCATTGTAAATATTTCAGTTTGAATACAATAAAGCTCTCAACTTTCTCTGTAGCGACGACATTTTCGGGTGAGGAGCTTGGTCCTTGTTGTCTTACGCCAGCTGTCCGTACACATCTGCGCACGTTCTGCCCCCATTGTCATTCTCGCTATCAGGGGCGCGCAAATCTTCACCATACCACAGGCGCAGCTCACTGTTAGCAAACACACATTGAGGCTTCTTTTTGGCACAAAACACAAGGACCGAGGAGGAGGAACTGTATCCGGCCAGATTGTACCATCCAACCTTGTTAAGTGTTGATGCTTCTGGAGCCAGTGTCTTGTTGTTCTGATCGGTCAGCAGGACACTGAGATCATGATCGGAATGACACCCCCAGTATCTGTAGTTTTTTTTGTCACACGTCACAGTTCCCCAGCGGCGCACGAGCATCGAACGAACGAAGATGTTTTCAGGGTAGGAAAAACGGCCAAAGTCGTCTCCCTTCGCGCCAAAGCGGACGGGCTACTTATTCAGTTTCACCCAGCGAGGACAGGTCTTTGATGTCGCTTCGTTTCTAAAGGAACACATTGCATGCTACCATTAAAACACAGTCATCAGGAATTTGAATTCCATTTCTTGACTTTCAGCTGAGTAAAAATACTAGAAAAAAAGAGAAATACGAGGGCACAGATTTAGTCCACCTTACCAGCGTTGTTTGGTTTGGCTTGAGTACTAGTATAACCGGGAGACAGAAAACCCCTTTTGTCCCTTTTTACCAGCAGAATTCATACATACAAGTCTATCTTGGTTGTAATGTTTTTTCGCCTTTATCAACATGCGAAATATTGTTCTTCATTTCGATAGAAAGGGAAGTGAGTTTTCTAAATTTTAATGAAGAGACAAACAAGAACAATGAACCAACGGGCAAATCCTATCTTCATTTACAATACGGTTCCTGACTCGATTCGTCCATTTTGGAAGAAAGAAAAGAAAAGTTTTCTTTTAACGTAATTCAAAGATAATCTAAGAAAATAGAGATTTTGGGAATCTAATTCACCACATGAATTTTGAAAGTTATTTTGTGGTACTGTCGTCATGTCGGCAATGGAGTGGAGAATATCAACCTTCAAGCTAGCTCAATAACGTTACCTTTTTCACGAACAAAAAAGTTAAGGTTCTTAGGGTTTCAGTGAAAGACTCGGTCCGTCAGAGTTTACAGTAGCCTTAATTGTACCGATGAATGAAAATATTAACGCTAATGTTTTGGTTTTCATTTGCTTATAACGCCGATTGCAGTCAGTGAGACATACTACTCGTCAATATGTAAAACGGTAGCAAACCGTTAAGAGGCTGTCCGCGTAAGAACCGATAAGGCAAATTTCGGTCTATCACAGATTGCCCTGATTTTTCCAGTGGAAGATAACTATCGTATCCCAGAGACAAGAGACATTTTATCCTACCTTGACATGAGTGCCTTTCAGGATCGCCTATACTTTATATTACTGGTACACTGTATATTTCTCGTAACCAGCCTAAGGGAGCGTTTGATTGACTCTGTACTCGAGGGGGCGAATATATTAAAGCAAGATCGTTTCAAATCAGCTCTTGTCTAACAGAGAGTTTATAATGATGCTGTAAACTGCGCATGCCTCGATAAGTAATTTCCAGAATCAGAACGGCATCTGGCCACTTATTTTTGTTCGGGTTTCAGTCAAAGAGCGCACTGTAATTTAAAGAAAGAAACCGCCATTACTTCTTCCCTGTTGACTTGATTCGCTGCAGTCTGAAACCAATCATTAAGAGGCTGTTCGCGTAAGAACCGATAAGGCAAATTTTGGTCTTTCACGGATTACCCTGATTTTTTCAGTGGAAGATAACTGTCTTATGCCATGAAGAAATATCACATTTATTTGGACCAACTCAACTTTTTCTCTATGTTACAAGAAGATTTTGTCGGGCACCTAGAACTGGCCAGTTTGCCGTCGCAAGTGGTGCGATTTTAAGGAAACTTAAGGGCTCTGTCAAACCTGACTTACAAGGCCGAATAAGCTGATTATGTTACACACAAATGTTTTAACTCTGATTAATAGTTTCAAGGTTTAATGGTTGTATTCTGTGGAAAGTTGGCTGAGATATGATTTTTTGAAAATGACCTTTAATTTGCTTATCGGGAAAAGTAATTTGCATAACTAGAGCTGAACGGTAATTTCGCAAAAGTGGCACCTGATCCAGACTCAAGTCTATGATAAAACAGAAGTACTAAGACTGTAGTGTACTTTCAGTATAGCTTGCATGATGTATCTAGCCGTACAAAGGTTGATGGGATGGATTATTAAAAGCATGGCGGATAAGATTCGGAGTGTTTCTGGTGCAGCTTGATAATCCGTGTGAATCGGTTTCAATACGCGATTAAGACACGACATCTGGCGACGAGGATAGTCATTTAGGTCAAAAAAGTTGAATTATGGCCTCTATCAAAGTGGATGATCTACTAACAAGTGTAAAACCCTTCGATCCGGACGGCGAACCGTCGAGCATTGGTAGGCGATGGCAACGATGGCTCAAAGGTTTTTCGTTATATGCCGACAGGAAGGGCCTCATCATCCAAGCAGACAAAGCCGACAATAAAGTGCAAAGAAGGGCTCTACTTTTGCATTGTGCCGGGGAACAAGTGCAAGAAATCTTCGAAACTTTGGCTGATACGGGCACATCGGCCGAGTATGAGAAAGCTGTGAATGCGTTAAACGCATATTTCATTCCAAAGGTAAATTCGACATACCAAAATCATCTTTTCCGAAGTATGGAACAGCGAGAGGGTGAAACGGTGGCTCAGTTCGTGACAAGGTTAAGACAAGTTGTGAAAGATTGTGATTACGGTGATCAGGCGGATAATCAAATTCGAGATCAAGTTGTTCAGCGGTGTACGTCCCATGATTTAAGGCGGAAATTGCTTGAGAAAGGTGACACTTTAACCCTAGAAGTTCTACTTAAAACTGCTGCGTCCTTTGAGGCTGTGCAAGCTCAGCTGGAGAGTATGAAGAGTAGAGGCGTTACTGTGAATCAAGTTCGTGACTCAAGCGAAAACAAGCATTATCATAAAGGGAAGAAGACATCGGGTGAGCCTGGAAACAAAACATGTTATCGATGCGGCAACACAGGACATTTTGGACGAGACCCTGAATGCCCCGCAAAAGGAAAAACCTGCAGGTCATGTGGTGGTGCTGATCATTTTTCTTCGCAATGCAGAAGCAAGGAGAGTAAACGTAGAGGCGATAAGAAGCCAAAAGAGAAGAGGAAAGTGAGATATATGCAGGGAGAAAATGATGACGAGGAAGATGAGTATGCGTTCACTGTAAAATCAATGTCACAGCCGGAAAAAGTTCAGGTAATTGTGGGTGGTTGTGTTGTGAAAATGGTGATTGATTCAGGGGCGAGCACTAACATTGTAGACAAAGGTCTATGGAATGACCTAAAGCAGCAGAAGATTGTCTGTGTATCCAAGAAATGTGACAAGAAGCTTTACGCGTATGGAAGCAAGGAGCCATTGAAAGTTTTGGGGACATTTTCAGCGTTGACGAAAGTAGCTGAGAGCGAGGTTCAAGCTGAATTTGTTGTCATCGATGGTGAAGGAGAAGCACTACTTGGAAGAGAAACCGCGTTGCAACTAGGTGTGTTGAAATTAGGGGCTCCAGTTTATACAGTGCAATCCAAAGAAGTGATCATGTCTGATTACAAAGGAGTATTTGATGGTGTAGGCAAGTTGAAAGACTATCAGGTCAAGTTACATGTTAATCCTGATGTACCCCCAGTAGCCCAGCCAGTCAGACGTACTCCATTCAGCCTCCGTGACAAGGTGAAGAAGAAGGTTGAGGAACTTGTAAATATGGATATTATCGAGCCAGTAGAGGGCCCAACACCATGGGTTAGTCCAGTAGTGGTGGTACCGAAACAGAATGATGAAATTCGGCTATGCGTGGACATGCGTAAGGCCAATGAAGCCATAATCAGAGAACGCTACCCCATACCTACTGTCGATGAAGTACTCCAAAGCCTGAACCAAAGCACAGTGTTTAGTAAGCTTGATTTGAAGTGGGGATATCATCAGTTGGAACTCCATCCAGATTCCCGTAGCATTACTACTTTTATCACTCACTGTGGACTGTTTCAATATAAGCGCCTAATGTTTGGAATAAGTTCAGCCCCAGAAGTATATCAGCATGTTATTCAGCTAGCACTTAGTGACTGTGAGGGAGTTGCTAACATCTCTGATGACATAATTGTACATGGGACAACTACCAAGGAGCATGACGAGAGATTAAAGCGAGTCTTGGAGAAACTGAAAGAGAAGAACTTAACTTTAAATGCAGAGAAGTGCAAGTTTCACATGACCAAGCTAGTGTTTATGGGACTCATGCTAACAACCAAGGGCATCGGTCCAACTGAAGAAAAAGTGAAAGCTATTGTCGAGGCGAGAGAGCCGCAGAATGTGTCAGAAGTTAGGAGTTTCCTGGGACTTGCTAACTACAATGCACGGTTCATCCCAGATTTTGCCACAGTAACTGAACCTTTGCGTAGACTGACAAAGAAAGGTGTCTGTTTCAAGTTTGGAGGCGAGCAGAGAAAAGCATTCAATGAGCTGAAGAGCAGATTAGCAAGTGCTGAAACCCTTGGGTATTTTAACAAAGACGCCAGGACACTAATTATAGCAGATGCAAGCCCAGTCGGTCTTGGCGCGGTACTTGTTCAAGAACAACAAGGAAGAAAGAGAGTTATCAGCTATGCCAGCAAAAGTTTGAGTGATGTGGAAAAACGGTATTCTCAGACTGAGAAAGAGGCGTTGGCAGTTGTTTGGGCATGCGAGCGTTTCCATGTGTACCTGTACGGCATTGAATTCGAACTGTACACAGATCACAAGCCATTGGAGACAATATACTCCAACAAATCAAAGCCCTGCGCCAGAATTGAGCGATGGGTTCTGAGGTTACAACCATACAGTTTCAAAGTAAAATACCTGCCAGGAGAGAAGAACATTGCAGATTCGCTATCACGCTTACTACAAGAAGAGAACCAAGCTGATTCAACGGTAGCGCACAAAGTATCAGATGTATTTGTCCGATTTGTAGCAGTAACTTCCACTCCACGGGCAATGACCACACGCGAGATTGAAGAAGCATCAGCAGAAGATGAAGAATTCTGTGAATTGCGTAACTGTATAATGAGGGGAACCTGGAGGAACGACCAGCTCAAGCAGTACATACCTGTAGCCAGTGAACTGTGTGTGATTGGCAAGCTAATCCTCCGTGGTACCAGAATTGTAATACCCAGCAAGTTGAGATCCCGAGTCCTTACGTTAGCACACGAAGGGCATCCTGGTATTGTTAGTATGAAGCAGAGGTTGCGATCAAAAGTGTGGTGGCCTGGAGTTGACAAAGAGGCAGAAAAATTTTGCA